TATTAAATTTGACAAAATTATATATACTTTTTTAGATGCTTGACTTCTCATATATATATATATATATATATATATATATTAAGTTTTTAGAATTATGTATGATATACAGGATTTATGATTCGTAAGAATGAAAAAATTTGTATTATATAAAATGCTTCAAAATAATCCTTTCAATAAAATATATTAAAGATAAATTTTAGAAGAGATAAAATTTTGAATATAATTTTTTGCTTAATTATATTTTTGCACGAATGTAAATCAAATTACAAGTATTAATAATTAAATTAAAATAATATATTACCATATCATTTTTGTAATATAGTAATATGAAAAAGTAATTAATTACAAAATTGCCACATATTTTAGATAGCAACCATTACTGTTTTTATTTTATTTTATTTAACTTTGATTATTTTTTTTTGTAGAAAAAGCAATTATTACATTTTTTTATATAGATTTTATCAATTAATTTTAGATGAATATGAAACAAAATTAAAAAACATAAAACGAAAATTTACTCGTGTAACTTAAATCTAAAATATTAGTATCTATATAACTAAAAAAGTATTTACACTATATCGACATTATCTTAAAATATTTAATTTTAAATTTAAATATGTTTTTGTCATTGTATAATGAATGAGTTTTAATTTTGGTGTAATTTTTTTTTCATTCTTTTAAAATTTATAAACATTATTTTTGACTCTTATAAAATATTTTTGATTTTTCTTTCATCTTTATTTTTCTAAAATTCAAAATCATAATTTTTGATTTTAATAAAGATTTTAAGATAATTGAATATTGTTTATTTTAAGAACCTTAAAAAAAATAGAGGTGATTCACACTAACATGACATAATAGTTATCAATAACAATTATAAGTAATACTTAAGATAATCATTTTGGATCTTTTAATAAATAAATATATAACTAAAAATAACTACTATATAATAACAATTCTAAATTTTAAAGAGATAAAAAAATAATTTTTTTAATAAAAACTAAGTAATGACTTAAAAAATTTACTTTAAAATTTAATTTGATATTATATCATGTTAGCTTTATCTACATTTTAAAAATTGCTTTTATTACAATATTGTTTGTCATGTTTTTTTTTTTGAAACGAGATAAAAGAATTCCTAAGCATTGAACAATAATGTAAAAAAGAAAACATTATTGAACAAAATATGCGTATAATTAACTAATATTACATTATTATACTTTTGAAAACTTAATAATTAGTAACTTAATACATTTCTTTCTTATTAAGTAAATATAATATTAAAGAGATATAACAACTCATCTTAAAAAATCTTAATAAATTACAAATTATCTATTAAAAAGTAAAACAATAACTTATTTTATATAATTTTCATTTTAATAATTTCCATCTAATTTAATTCTTTTTTACTTTAAATATTCAAAATATTATGGCTAAAACACTAATTTGGTCCCTTATATTAATTGTTTGTTTCAATTTAGTCCTATTTTAATTTTTGGTTTCAATTTGGTCCCAAACTAATTAATTGGTTTCAATTTAGTCCCGAATTAATTAATTGGTTTCAATGTGGGACTTCTGTCTAAATTATTTAAACGGAGTTAACTTTTAGCCACGTGGATGCCACGTAGATGCATACGTGGATGCCACATGGATGCCAATTTTTTTTAAAACACTTGGACCCAGAACGGCCCGTTCTGAAACCGGAACGGACCGTTCTGGTTGCACTTTTGGAGTTTTAGTTTTGCATCCGGAACGGCCCGTTCCAGGTGCAAAATTAACTCACCAAAAGTGCATCAGAACGGGCCGTTCTGAAACTGAGAATAGTGCCTTCGTTGTATTTTTTATAATTATGCAATTTTGATCCCTAAGGTTTTAATTGAGTAATTTCAGTCTTTAAAAGATTATAGTTGTGTAATTTTAGTCTCACCATTTTTAATTGAATAATTTTAATCTCTCAAATATCATGATTGTGTAATTTTAGTCTTTCCTATTAAAAATATAATAATTTTAAAATTTTAATATATATATATATAATGTTTTAAAACTATATAATTGTTTGCTTATTTAAATTAACATATATTATAATTTTTTGTAATGTATCAAATGATATATATTTATTATTACTAAATAAATAAAATTTATATATTATTAATATTTTAATATTACTAATAAATTAATATCAATAATATTTTTCCTATATTTATAAATAAACTAATAATTTGATAAATATATATTAATATATTTTTACAAAAATATAAATATATAAGATCAGATATATTTTTCTAATTAATATACTTATATTTTTGTAAAAGTATATTAGTTTATCTATAAATATATTAATAATATTATTGATATAATATCAAAAATTATAACATATGTTAATTTGAATAGATAAATAATTGTTTAATTTTAAAACATTATATATATATGTTGGATATCAGCACATATCAATCAGAATCTGTTGGAAATCAGCATATATCAATCAGAATATTCAATTCTGATTTGTAAAGATTTAATGTTAATAAGATCAATTTTATTTCCCCTCCTTTAATTATTTAGATACAGCATTTATAGGGAGAATTATTTCCCAGATTTTTAGGGATAGATTAGTGTGCAGATTTATTCCCTTGTATTCTATTTATACCACTTTTGTATTTTTCCCAAATCAGAGAAATATACATTGTATTTTTCCGCAATATATATATATATATTAAAATTATTAATTTTTAATGGGAGAAACTAAAATCGTATTGTTATGATATTCTTTATTAATTTTATTAAAAAAATAATAATTTTGAAAAATATTTTTTTATAGTAAAAATTTTAAAATTACTTATTTTTATTAAAATACTTATTTTATTAGGTATAACAACATAATTAAAATATAATTAATAATATATATTTTGTAAAATTATTAATATTTTATATTTAAAAAAAAAGTTAAAACCGGAACGGCCCGTTCTGATACCGGAACGGGCAGTTCTGGTTTCACTTTTTGTGTGTTAATTTTGCATTTGGAACGGGTCGTTCTGAATGCAAAATTAATACACCAAAAATGAAAGCAGAACGGCCCGTTCCGGTTTCAGAACGGGCCGTTATGGGTCCAGGTATTTTAAAAGAAATTGTCGTGACATCACATGGTATTCATCTACGTGGCATCCACGTGAGCAAAAGTTAATTCCGTTTAAATAATTTAGATGGAAGTCCCACATTGAAACTAATTAATTAATTCGGGACTAAATTGAAACCAATTAATTAGTTTAGGACCAAATTGAAACCAAAAATAAAAGTGGGACTAAATTGAAACAAACAATTATTATAAGGGACCAAATTAGTGTTTTAGCCAAATATTATTTATAAAATATAAATAAATATTATAAAATTAATAAATCATCTGTAAAAACAAGAATAATCTCTGTAAATGTGCTAGTTAAAATAATAAAAATAAAAGAAAATCATACATCACATAACAGTTGCACACTACACTAGTTTCGCAAACCCTAACTCACCCACCCAAACGCCGATACACGCACCGTGCGTTCGTGAGAGTGAGTCACTCGTTTTCTCATTTGCGTTGTCGCTTCTCAAATCTCAACAAAAAATTTTCGTGTATCCGTTTTCTCCAATCTCGATTTTCTGAATTTCTTTCAGGTTTCGCGTTCCAGAGGCTGCACCATCTACCTCAGCTCCCAAATTCGCACCGCCGCAGAACCCTAACTAAGCATGAGGCCGATTTTGATGAAAGGCCACGAGAGGCCACTCACTTTCCTCAAATACAACAGGGACGGTGATCTACTATTCTCCTGCGCCAAGGACCACAACCCTACCGTGTGGTTCGCCGACAACGGCGAACGCTTGGGCACTTACCGAGGCCACAACGGCGCCGTTTGGTGCTGCGACGTCTCAAGTAAGTTCCTCATTGATTTCAATTTCGATTTCGAGTTTTCACTTTGATGTTGATTCTGAACTTTTTTGTTTGCGCAGAGGATTCGAGTAGACTTATAACGGGGAGTGCGGATCAGACCGCCAAGCTGTGGAACGTGCAAACTGGTCAGCAGTTGTTTACCTTCAATTTTGATTCTCCGGCGAGGTCGGTGGATTTCGCCGTCGGCGATAAGCTCGCCGTTATGACCACTGATCCGTTTATGGAATTGCCCTCTGCAATACATGTCAAACGCATTGCCAGAGATCCCGCTGATCGTAATGTTTTTCTCCTTATTCATTTAGGTTTTGTTTGGGTAAATTTCTCATTTAGAGTGTATAGGTGGAGACAATTAGAATGATGCTTGTTGGCTTATGCTCAAGTTAAAATCAGTTTTTTTTTTTTCTTTTTTTCTTTTTGGGGAGAAGTTTGGGGAGAGAGCTTCTTATGGATCAGCTAATTTTAAATTTCGAGAAACATGCTTTGTTTTATTCTCGTGGGAGTTCTTATTGAGAAGTTTATTCAAATAGACATTAGTTTCTTTGGTCACAGCCGCTAGCTATTGCTATTGCTGATGTTAATGCTGATGGTTTGGTTTCTCAGAGACTGGGGAATCTGTGCTTCTCATTAAGGGTCCTCAGGGGAGAATTAATAGAGCTATTTGGGGACCCCTGAACAGAACCATTATCAGTGCTGGAGAAGATGCTGTTATCCGGGTTTGGGATTCTGAGGTGACTTCACGTCTATTTTACCTGACCCTCTTCTTTCGTTTACAATATGATAACACTGTTAATTTTCTCTCGTTTGATTGCAGACAGGGAAACTGCTTAAAGAGTCAGACAAGGAATCTGGCCATAAAAAGACTGTAACATCACTTGCAAAGTCTGCGGATGGTTCCCATTTCCTAACTGGCTCCCTTGATAAGTCTGCTAGGGTATCAACTTTTTATTTCTCTTTTTTTTTTTGGTGTTTATTCTCATGTTTTTGTTTTCACCTAACCATTTTTTTTCTCTCTCTTTCCATTGAAATTATTTAACTAGCTTTGGGATACTAGAACATTGACTCTGATCAAGACGTATGTCACAGAACGCCCAGTCAATGCAGTTGCAATGTCACCTCTTCTTGATCATGTATGTATTTGTTAACCCTGTGTATTGCTATTTGTATCCATGCAAATGATTTTGCTTCTGCTTTATTTGATTGATGTCTTTATCCTGGAAATTGGTGTCTTATAATTTAAGGAATCTGGCCAATTATATTTGCAACACCTCTCTTTCTTGGTAGAAATTTGTTCCCCATAAACCAAAGGCATGATTCTTGCACGTTGCCATTGCTCTCTAATTTATAAAATAAATGCACTTCCAAAATATTTCATCATTGCAAGCACCCTATGAACATCTTGTATCTGCTTTAGTTTCCTTCTATTTTTTTATATGGGTCATATGGACCTTGTATGATTTTCTAAATTCCATGGCCTGTGTGCAGGTGGTACTTGGAGGTGGTCAGGATGCATCAGCTGTTACAACTACTGACCATCGTGCTGGCAAATTTGAAGCCAAATTTTATGATAAGGTTAGTTTTTTCCCCCCTTTCCTATACAAGGTTTTGTTCTAATGATATTGAATGTCTACTAATTTTTCTTTTTTATTACATGTTTGTTATTTTCATATGATTAGATTCTTCAAGAAGAAATTGGGGGTGTAAAAGGACATTTTGGACCAATTAATGCATTGGCTTTTAACCCTGATGGGAAGAGGTATATTCTGTGTTCTTCAACTCCTTTTTGTGTTGTATCATGACATACTTTTATTATTTGAAACCTTCCGTTCATTGATTTATTGGAGAAATTAACAACCATGATTTTGTTAAACCTTTGACTTTGTATAATGAAATGCACCATTTCTTTCACATAACTGTTTAACACGTCAACATCTGGTACTGGTGTTTACTATGCATTACTGTCCCATAGGTATGGTATGAATATGAATATAAATATCTCTCTATTCTACTAGGTGGAATCCACTTCATTGATTAATCAAAACCCAGGTTTTATATACACTTGTCTGTTGCTTAATAATATCTTCATTTGCCCTTCAAATTAGAAGGGACTTTTGTATTTTTGCTACACAATATACTTGTTATATTTATTATATAACTGTAATTGCCATAGAATGAGGTTGAAGAGAACTGCCGTCATATCCCAACATTAGCTTTCTAGAGGTCAATCAGTGCAGTAAATTGACACATTTATTGTGACTGTGTTGTAATTTTAAATCATATGTTGCCAATGTAGCTCTCCATTTGATTTGTGTGACATTTGGTTGGTATATTTTTTTCTCCAAGCATGTTTCAAAATATTCAATAGTTTTGACTCAACACTGCACTTTAGTGATGCAGGTTCCTAAATAACTGTAAGGCTGTTTCTTTTACTTCTCTCATCTTTTATATTCCTTTTTTTTTTGTAGCTTTTCAAGCGGAGGCGAAGATGGTTATGTACGGTTGCACCACTTCGACCCAGATTATTTCAACATTAAAATATAGTGCTGGATGGTTTGTGGTTAACATTAGGCGTGGTTCCAGAAGTTAGCTTTTTAATTTATTTCAACTAGATTTTTGTAATGCCAATGTGATTACAAACGATCTTATATATCGGTAATATGGATGAATTGAAGAATGAAATTATGCATTTTTTGTTTATGTATTAACACTATCAATTTTGGTTGGAGTGGAACTCATAATTGAGGAGTTTTTCTTCGCAAGTCCATATTTTTGATAAAACTAGAAGTTTGGCATCTATTTGGAGTATACAGCATATCACCTTTTTGTCAGGGTTTCACTGACATGTGAAATTTTGCAGCTTAATTTTTATTAGATATGTTTTTATTAACTTATAATTATGACTTGGCCTATAATAGAAAGAAGTTTGATTTTGTTTTCATTTATTTATTGTATCGTCACTGTAAAACTTTTAATGATACCACTCTTAAAAGTACATATGTAAAATTCAGTAGCATAACAACCTGAAATTCATTTCAAAGTGCCCTATATCTCTCTGTCCGGGTGACTCCACCACCCCCACTGGTGTGATCTCTTCGGAATCCCAGTAACTTCTGCCATTCATCTTCATGAGGTGCCAATTTGTCATTCCCAACCCACATAATGTTCCACTTTCTACACTCTTGAAGTGTATTTTCTTGGGCATTTAGAAGGTTTTTTGCATCAATCTGACCAACAGATAATTACAATTTCAGAACCATTTCTGAGAAAAAAAACCCTTTGGATAGTGTGTTCTTAGGTCTAGCAAATGGAGGTTTTGTTGGGTTGTTGAAGGCGGGTTTGGGTTGTTGAAGGCGGGTTTGGGTTGTTTAGGATGCCGACGATGTTGAAGTGAACTGTGAACTATAACTTCTGCCATTTGGGTCAAGTTGTTAGTTTTCGACAATGGTTTTGCCTTGAGATCGACCATGGAATAGTCGAAAATATTGTTGTTCCTGACAGTAGTAGGGAAGGTGGAGTGGTCACACTGGATGTTGAAAATCATTACTGACTGCGTTGCTCATTATCGCGGTGGAATCCGGCGTAGACTTTGCATAACTCCTTTGCCAAGGTCGATGTACAACATTGTTAACTTACTAACTGGTATACAGTCAAAAATGCTTTTATATTCACATAACCATATAGAATATTTATAGTCTTGGTCGACCTTGGATATGTGCAAACAAAGGATGGTGGCAAACTCCATTTTTAAGTTGCGCCATATTTTGTTGTTTGTAAAGAAATTGCAAGGTAACGTGTTTGGTGAATGAAGTTAATTATTTTGAAAGGGCTACTTCAAAGGCGTTTATAATCTCAATGGGAAGAAGATTGAAAGAAGCCTAAAAGGGTAAATTAGAAAATGAAGGATCAAAAGTTTTGGGTGACGGAGAGGAAAAAGTAGTTGGACTTATTTAATTATTATTTTTATTTTATAAGAAAGTATAATTCTTTTATACTAAGTTGACTCTTATAAAAGTAAACTAGTACTTTCGGGTGTGACTCGATGCTTAAGACAAAAATTGAATTTAATTAATTGAATTTTGATCATTAATTAAAGAACATAAGTGTCAAATTACTTGAAATAACAATTTTCGATTAGTCTTAGTTTGCAATATATTATCGAGTTTTGTGCATTATATTATATAGATTTGTAAGAGTTGAGATATTGAAATATTGAGTTTATTTTTCTTTGTCTTTATTTTCTCTTGGTAGTTATATTTGTATGCACTTATGACAGTTGTTAATAATGAGTTTATTTGGATAAATTTTCCTATAAATACTTATAGGAGAGAAAAACTATAAGGAAAATGATAAGCTAAAATTAACTTTTGTATAAGTTATTAGGCTAATTTGAAGAAATTTTCTTTTATTAGTCTCTCTAAATCTTATTTTTAACTTATGCATAAGTTAGTTTTAATATATAGAGAAGCTTATTTAAAATTTTATTTGTATATTTATCTCCTAAAAATGCTTTTAGAGAGATTTATCCAAATATCGTGGATGACCACTTAATCAATAAAAAAATAGTTAAAAATAATTACATAATAATGATAAAAAAATAGTTAAAAACGATTACATAATAATGATAAAAAATAATAACTTCAAATTTTAGAGAAATGAAAATAATAAAAAAAAAAAGAAAAAATCAAAATTTATTATTTTTTAAAATAAAATTATTTAAACCATTATATTTTATGAGATGATTTTCATCATTCATTATAATTTTAGGAACTAAATAGTTGGGTAATTCAATTTGACTAAATATTATAATTTTAGGGATTGAATTTTTTATTCACTCAATAATAATGGTATTTTTTTATAATGTTAGTTTAAATATAAAATAATAGAAAAATTGAAAGAAAAAAAAGAGTATTGTCATTATAATAAATAGAAAAAAATACTGAGATCCTTTATTTTAAAAATAAATAAATAATGAAGTGGATGGTGATTGATTAGATTATATAAAAGGTTTGGAAAATAAATTTATGGAGAGGTAAGAAAAAAAATTATGGGGTACAAAAATAATAAAAGTTATAATGATAGAATGTTCTAAAAATAGGAAAAATATTCAATGACTTTGGTCTTGTTTGTATATTCATCGATGTGCATTTCATAGTACCAAAACAGAGAAACATGTGTCTTGATGGATTGAAATGAATCCACATTTTCTAACTACAAAAGAAAAAATAAACACATAATTTGATATGTCAAAGTCATCATATTTTTTGTGCATTTTAAATCATCAGACAAATTTAATGATCTAGATTTTGTCATGTGTCACAATTTTTTTTAATTTTTTAATTTTTTATAGTTTAATAATAAAACACTTGATTTTCTCTTTTATATATAGAGACTCTTTTAACCACTTTATATAAATTAAAATAGTAGTTAATTTAATTAATATTATATAAATTTTTTTTGAACAGCGGTATTATATTGTTAATATTATATAAAGTTAATTGTAAAAAAATTTGTCTAATTGTTTTAGAATTACTCTTAAAACTAGTTATTATAAAATATTTTGAATTCTTAATTTCTTTTTACTCAATTAATTAATGTTTCATTAATTACAAATATTATTATAAAAATTAAATAATATAATATCCAACCTGAAGAGAATTTTATGAAAAAGATAAAAAAAATTATTTTTTCAAATTTTTCACAAAAGAGCTTTTTTTAAATTGTTGTAAGAAAAACAACCATTTTTTAATTATTGTCATTTTTACAAATTTGATCGATGAATTCACCTTTTTCCTTATTTAATAATTATTAAAATAACAATATATTACAAAGAATGAAATATTAAAAAAAATGAAATACATAAACAATTAAGATTTTTTTTTTAATGACAAGTAACGAAATCAGAAACATTACATTTATCTAATGGATTAAAATAAAGTACAGTGAGTCACAAAAAGAATGTATAAGGAAAAAATATCATCTTTATTGATAAATGTATATTATTACATTATAGATACAGATTATAATAATACACAAGTAAAATATTGTATTTTAAATTTAAAATAAATAATTTAATATTTTTACAAAATTATTAAAATTTAATTTACAAGAAAAATAAAATTTGATTAAAATAAAAAAATTTAGGCTAAAAACCTATTCTAGTCCCTTACAATAATTGTTTGTTTCAATTTAGTCCTACTTTTATTTTTTGTCTCAATTTGGTCCTTAATAAATTAAGTGGTTGCAATGTCAGACTTCTGTCCAAATTATTTAAACGGAGTTAACTATTGGTCACGTGAATGCCACGTAGATGCATAGGTGGATGTCACGTGGATGCCAAATTTGTTGAATATACTTGGAACCAGAACAGCTCGTTCTGAAACCATAGCGGGCCGTTCTAAGTGCACTCTTGGTGTGTTAAATTTTCATTTGAAACGGGTTATTCTAGATGCAAAATTAACACACCACGAGTACATCAGAACGGTCCGTTCTGAAACCAGAACGGCCTGTTCCAGAACGCCAACTTGTTAAGTGGAGCAAATAGAATATTCTATATTATTTTTATTAAAAAATATAATAATTTTGAAAAATATTTTTTTACGGTAAAAATTTTAAAATTACTTATTTTTATAAAATACAATTGTCTTATAAATAGAGTGATAATTTTTCCTTTTTCTCTTTCTGTCTGAAGAAATATTTAAGTGTCACTTTATAATTTTTTGCAACTTATTTAAAATTAGAGGAATAAAATGATAAAAATTAATAGGATAAACATAATAAAATTATTAATTTATTTTCTTTTAGTGTCCTCTAAATTTTTACATTCATTTAAAACAAAAATATTTTATATGTTAATTTGAATTAATTTAACGAAGTATCATATGATTTTTAATTTTTTAAAATTTTTTATAAATTTGATCTATACATGAAAATCTTTTTAATTTAACAATTAAATTCTTAAAAATTTGATATAGAACATTAATTATTAAATAGAATAAATCTATCAAGACTTACTCTTGAAGTAAGTAAATTTTTTCTTCATTAAAAATGAAGATAATTTTACCACAAAATAAAAAATAATTAAATAATAAAATAAAAAATAAAAAAAATTAATATATTTATTATATTAGATATAACAACATAATTAAAATATAATTAATAATATATATTTTATAAAATTATTAATATTTTATATATAAAAAAAAGAATGAAAAAAATTTTAATTGCCCCCACTATGATTAACTTAGATCCGTCCCTGCATGTGGTTGTGTGATGAAATGTTAGTCCTGTGTATCATTTTCCTTTACTTCAGGTTGTACCTCCTTGCGAACAAGTTGTTATTGTTAAGGTACATCGTTAATGACTTCAAGAAAAAATATCATGTTATTTCATCCTTTACTGTATAGTGTCAATTTGGTAGTAAGTGGTTCACTCCAGTTTGACTAACAATGAAATAAATTCTGCTACCATTGTCTTTAGTGATACACTGCATTGTCCTTAATGATACACTGTATAGGCTAACTGTTTAGCAATTGAAGTTATCAATTTCCATTAACAATATTACCAAATCTAGTGTTTGAAATGCTTTGTACCTTAGGTCTTTTTCCTTCCACGATTCACAACCATGAACTATAATCATTGACCGTTTGTGTTTGGTATTCTGGAACCAGAACAACCCGTTCTGATTGCACTCTTAGTGTGTTAATTTTATACCTGGAACGGGCCGTTCTGGATGCAAAATTAACACACCAAGAGTGCACCCAGAACGGCTCGTTCTGGTTTCAGAACAGGCCGTTCTGGTTCTAGGTGTTTTCAAGAAAATTGGCATTCACGTGGCATCCACCTATGCATCTACGTGACATCTACGTGGCCAACAGTTAACTTCGTTTAAAAAATTTGGACGGAAATCCGACATTACAACTAATTAATTTATCAGGGACCAAATTAAGACCAAAAATAAAAGTGGGACTAAATTGAAACAAATAATTATTATAAGGGACTAAAATAGGTTTTTAGTCAAATAAAAATTTAAGAAAAATCTTTTAAAAATATGTTTTTAAAAATGTTTTGGGTTTGGAAGGTTCCAAAGAATTAAGAACAAGAATCCATAGAATAGAATAGCGGTGCTTTTGGGTTGGGTATTTTATTTAATTTTAGTAAAAATAAAAAAAATGAAAAAATAATAGTGGTACCTTTTTTGCTCTTATAAAGTCTATTCTGGTTGACGCTTCTCACTCCCATCTCGCGTTGCTGCAAAGCGATACCATCTTTCGTTCATCTCTCTCTCCAAAGGTAATCGCTAATCACAATCCTCAGATTTTCACTTCGCACTTTCATTTCCGTTACGCTTTCACCACTCTTCCGGATCAATCACTCCAGATCCTTCTTATTACTATTATTCGGTTCGATCCGTTTCCAATTTCGATTTGCATGTTTGTTTTTTTTCTCTCTATTAGTTTGAGATCTGACTGAATCCGGTGACGTTGACGTGGCTGTGTTTTGGTTATTGTGTTTTGCGATTTGTTGTTTCGTTAATTGAAATTTTTGTTTGAACGATGGAATTAGGGATCCGCAGGCTGAAGGAGAAATGGGGCTGACGTTCACGAAGCTTTTCAGTCGGCTTTTCGCGAAGAAGGAAATGCGAATTCTGATGGTTGGTCTTGATGCTGCTGGTAAGACCACTATCCTCTACAAGCTCAAGCTTGGAGAGATCGTTACCACAATTCCTACCATTGGTGAGTTTCTAAGACTATGCTTTTCCTTTTTCCTAGCTTCATAGATTTATCATGTATTGCAATTTTTCTTTACCTGTTGGAATATAACTTGGTTGGTTAGATCCTTTTATATATATTTATATAGGATGTAGAATTATATTAATTGATGTCTTAATTATCTAGGACTACGTTAAGTCGTTGACTCATGTCATGGTGAGGTATGTCGATGATGTTTTAACATGGAGTGTGATCATTATATTTCTGAATATGGGAAGAAGCCTTCAAAATTGAATACTGAGATCCCTGATTATGTTGGTTATTATGATTTATGTGATGCTTGATGTGAGATCCGGGATTTAAGTTGTTGTATGTTCTAAAAGCTGTGAAAAATATCTTTTAATGACTATAGTATTACTTTTTTTTTTTTTTTTTTGTGACGGGGTTGTCGTTTTTACTGTTTGGTGTCAGACTGCTGAAATATTGAGATTGTGTTATATGTATGCATTGATTTATCTATTTATTTATTTTGTTTAAGGGTTCAATGTTGAGACTGTGGAGTACAAGAACATTAGCTTCACTGTTTGGGATGTCGGTGGCCAGGACAAGGTGATGATTTTGATTCTTATGCATCACTTAAAATACATGTATTCAGTGCATATGTCATTTAACTTTCACTTCTGAACAACCAAACATTACCTGACAAAGTTTGTTTGCAGTCTGGCTGAATACTTAATGTTTTCTTTTGCAGATTCGTCCTTTGTGGAGGCACTACTTCCAGAACACTCAGGGTCTTATTTTTGTTGTAGATAGCAATGATAGGGACAGAGTTGTTGAGGCCAGAGATGAGTTACATAGGATGTTGAATGAGGTACTTTAGTTAATTTAGTTTAGCCTTGCATACCATATTGTCAGATTCATTTTTGTTCATGTTAGATGCTAACCTGACGATAAGAGGGAATTCATTCTTAGAGATAAGGTTGAGGATCACATAGGGTCCAAAAGAAACGACCTGTAAGTTAGTTGAGATAGAAAATTCCAAGAGTCGGATTGACCTATAAAGAAGATTCCTTAATGTAGTCTGAAAATATTCAAAGACTTCGGAAGGAGGGAATTGAAAGTTTGTTTTAAGCAGAAAATGTAATTATTTTGCTGTATCTACAATGGCTCTTGCACTTCTGGCTATACATTAGTCTAGTCCAGCACATGATGTTCTTATACTCAATGGTTGTCTTTATAGATGACGAGAGAAAAATCGTATTGAACTCATGACTGAAAGCATACTTCACTGCTGTTAATTGATCTGTTTTTTGTTGGGTCATAATTTCTGATAACTGTTGAATATTGACGTCAGTATATCATATCTTTTGGAAATCAAATGACCAGTCCTTACTTGGTCAATCTCCTGGGGAATTTAGTGCTTCTAATTGATGGCTTCTGTGTCAAGTTCATTGTTTACAAGGATCATGACCTATTACCAAAATCACTAGTCTCCTTGTTCTTTTGCTATCTGTTTTATGTATTGTTGTGATGAAATGACAAGGTTTAAAATGTTTTTGAATTTGTCTTTTCAGGATGAACTGAGAGATGCAGTATTGCTTGTGTTTGCCAATAAGCAAGATCTTCCTAATGCAATGAATGCGGCTGAGATTACTGATAAGTTGGGTCTCCACTCTCTCAGACAGCGCCACTGGTAATTTTTTTATTATTAACAAAGCCCTTTTTGGCCAGTATTGATAAGCTCTCCTGTTGTGATCTAACACACTTCTGGTTTTTCCAGGTACATTCAGAGCACCTGTGCAACCTCCGGAGAAGGCCTTTATGAAGGTTTGGACTGGCTTTCCAACAACATTGCCAATAAGGTAGCTATTGGTTTCTCTCCTTTTTATTGTAAAAGAATCGATTTGAAAAAATACATGGTAAATGAAAACAATTGTATATGTTCATTTCATTAGAAATGGTAGCAAAAGTGTGCAATGGAATGTGCCTCTATGGGGTTTACACTATATTTTCCTTTTATAATAATTTTTTTATCGTAAGTACTTGTTTGTTGCACTTCCTAGTTCCCAGGTCATTAAAAAAAATGAAAAATGTACCCGTTCTTGAATTACTGAGGTGATTTTTTTTTCCCTTTACAGGCTTAAAGCCTTTGGGAGTCTTGCGGATTGGTAATTCTGGATGCAGGGGTGAACATTATCTAGCTTTTATTTCTTGGTCCTCTTCCGAGACGACTCAAATTTGTGTTCGTGTAATGTGGTTTAGGACATCTTGGTGGCTAAAATTGTAGTAGGACTTTGTTTCTTGGGGTGTGTAATACTGAGCTTCCTATTGGGTTTATGGATGCAATGTCCATAACTGTAATGGAGATACTAATTCAATGTGCCACCAGGTTCTGATTTATAGTTTTATTTTGGTCATGTATCTTTCATATATTGAGTATTGAATGGGGATTTTGTTTATTGTTTTGTAAGATACCCGTAAAAAAAAACTATATTCACTTTCATACTTCTAAAGATGCGCATGTTTTACTTGTGTTCATTCAAGTTCCTGTTGGGGTTTAGGTACACGGTTGATTCGTGGGTAACATAGGCTTAGGACTTATTATAATGGTATATTTTTTTTTGGTGAGTTGGAAAGATGCCTGTAGTTTTCCTTGTACTATTTTCAACGTTGTAATGAAGGTGAACATGCGAAACATTTATTCTGTGGGACAGGCTAAAACAGACAGGAGTGCTTTTTATGCCACGAATTTTCAGATTCATTTTGGTTGCGAAAAATTAGATAATTGACAAAGTCTCCCACGTCAGGGTTTTAACAATCAACAAGGGTACCATAATTTAACTGAGCTTGTTCAAGTTTATCAGATTTGCTTTGGTGCAGGGATATTTATGCCACGATTTTTCAGACACATTCTCGAGATTCCTCCCCCAACTTAAAAATTATTAGTGGATCTTGGTGTGTTCATGTTTAGATCAGTGCATTATCCAATCAGTCGGGTGGTCAGTGAATATTTTGATTTCTGATTATTCATTCAATTGATCAAAAGGAAAGCTTTGAAGGTCAAGCTCTCTATAAAGCTGATGATCAACTCTTTAGGGGTAAACATTGTCAGTACCCTCTGAGGCGTGCCGGCGAAAGCATGGCTTTTATTTTTCAACTATCAAGTGGGGTGAGTTGTTCTTGTTGGCGTCGGGTGCCTGCACCGTTCCCAAGGATGACGTTGGAATCAAGTGTAGTTGTTTTTTGATGGGCTTTCCTTCGATTTTTTAAGTAACTGACCCATGCATCTTTCAATACAGGTAAATGACCCTCCCTTAAAATTACTGTTTAAGGTTTAGGGTTTAATTTTCATGTTCATATGTTATATACTATTTAGAATTATTTTTTAAAATCTTAATTTTTAGTTATATTGCAATTTTTAAAATTTAAAATAAAAATATATTTTAATAATTTTATTGTATTTTAATGATAAAATTTAAAATAAATTATATTATCTTCTTATGGAAAAATAAGGGTATTACACTCTTACATTAAAATATATATTTTATTTATTTAACATAATATTATTAATATAAATTACACTATTTATTTGCATAAGCACATGATTTCTAAACAGATTTGATAGAAATCAGAGAATTATTATAGACATGAAGGTGTGACTTGGAGTTGGAAAAACCAAATTCACACCATAAACAATATTTTGTGTTTTTTGGTACATAAATTATAAAATTGTGTAGTCAGGTAAATTTAGTTTGTTTTTGTGTATTTGAGTTAAAAAAATTCGCAAATCATCATATGAAGAGATGATAGTATAATATTTGCATCTCTTTTAAAAAAGAGTATAATTTATATTAACGACTTCAAGTTAAATAAGAAAAATTGTGTAAAGTAAATTATGTTAACACTTTTGAAGTTTTGTGAAATTGCATAAATATTTCTTACTTTTTTCTATCCTTATAATAATTCTTTTTTATTGTTTGAAAAATACTACACTAACACCCTTTATATATTACTTTAACCTTCCTTAATTATTTGAAAACTATTACATTGTGACTCCCTATAATGGAGATAGGGAGTTGATGTAAGCCTTTAAAAAATAGTGTTAGTACGATTTTGTAAATCTTTAATGTCAATGTAATTAACTTAATTGTATATTTTATTATATAAGTATAATACTTGTATCTCTTATGAAAGAATAATATAATTTGCTTTAAATTTTATCATTAAAATATTAAAATAAATATTTAAGGATTAAAATAAATTTTTATTTAGTTTAAAAATTACAATATAATTAAAATTTAAAGTTATAAACATATCAGTTTAGAATTTGATTTTAGAGAACTCAAATTCTATACGGTATACATACACAATAAAATTCAAGTGTGAATTCGGATTTCTCAATCCCAAATTCACACTGAATAAAGGCTAATCTGGTATATAATTTTGGATGAGGGTTACTTACGTGTATTAAAAGATGCATAGGGTCAATCTGGTAAAAAAAAAGTGGCTTCCTTCACTGGCTCCACTACTCTGCTTCTCTGCCATGCTGTCCACGCCAACACAACGACCATTGCTCCCTGGACCTCATAATTTGGCCCATGCATCCACTTCTTTTTTTAAAATAATCAAACTACTACCCTTAAATGACTTTTCCGGAATATCTATTTTGACGCAATATATATTGCATCCGAAACACATAATTTTGATGCAATATATTACATATACATTTGGAATACCCAATCAGAAATATGCAAAATGGTTGTTTCAAACACCCGGGTAGATTGGATATTTCTTTAAAAGTAATATCTACCTTAATTTATAATTAATAATATAAAAATGTTTATATTGTCTATACAAAGAAATTAAATTCCTGTAAAAACAAACATAGAAATTAAACTTTTTAGTCAGAAAAAAAAAAGAAATTAAACTTTTTTCTTTTCATTTATACACATTTTAGCAATATTCTCCAAAACAATTTTCTGTCATTGATACTGTACACAGAATATTTTCGCCCGACAAACAATGAGAAAAGAAAAGAATGGACCAGAACCACAGGTATTAGCATCTAAACAGTCGTAAAAGGACCATAAATTGACTAGGGAAGCATGGAAACCTTATAGCAGTTAAAAGTCCAAGGGGCTGAAATCGTTTTCTTGATATTCTAATTCTTGGACAGGATCTTTTTCGAAAAGGAAAGGCGCGGCCTCTTGAGAATTGTGGGGCTTCTGGTCGTTCATCTCTATAACTGAAACAATCCTTTCCTCAATACAGTTTTCCACAATTCCAGTTCCAACTTCTTGGGACTGTAATCCAAGAAGAGAAAAGCATTCTCCCTGGAAATCCAAGTCACTGGAAGACAAGATCAGCCCAGCAATTGTTTTTGCCAGATCAGGGGCATAACTGCAAATCTGAAAGGGAGAGAACCATTTATTCAAATTTCATGCCGCAAAGTTGCCCAATAAATTAAATATAAGCCCAGAAATATAATTTGGAAATTTACAATAAACTCAGCTTATTGGATGGGAAATCAAGGTGTTCCATTGAGAATTAAGATATTTATGCAAAATCTCAGTTTGAGGAATAAATTTCAACAGCAAAAATACCGAGGGTCCACATAGATAACAAGTGTCTTTATGTGAGTGTTATAGAGAGAGAATTATAGAGATGAATTTACCTGAAGGGCACGTGAACTTAAAAAAGCCTGGGAATGATTCGCCTTCAAGTCATCTAGTGAAAGTTTAACTGCTCTCTTAACAAGGTTTCTGTCAAGTGGAGATTTTTTCCTTGGAGCTGATGGTATAATGGTCTAACCAATTTGTCAAGGAAGAATAAATTACATACAAGTTAAGAAAATTTAGAAGATATACATTACTATACATATGCAATGCAAATGTTCATACATATATAGGGAAATATATATGCCCTAGAAGAACGTCAAATGTAATTTTAACAGTGAAATGTAGAGTTGTACAATGGTTGTATGAAGTTGCCTATCTGTAATAGAAAAGGAAAACTGCTAATGAAACACCAGATCCAGCAAAATTTCTCAGTAAGAACTGGTGGATCGTCACTTATTCAACGAATAAATATAATGGATTTTTTTTATAAAAAAAAAAGTCTTACAGCAAAGCATAAAAAAATTGTCTCGGAAAATGTGTTTCACACTTCTAAGTTTTAACTATCTTTGAAAAAGATAAAAAGGATCTGACCTGTGCTGGATATTGTTTATGATAAGAGTGGAGCACAATATCAATGTGAGTATCTATAGGCAAGTTTTCCCATTCTAGTAATGTAATGCCATCTTGCTCTACCATGCCCCCTATATTCAAACCATATGTTTTCCAGTCAATGCTTCGTAATGCCTTCATAAATGATTTGGAGATTGTACAATGTGAAAAGTCCTTGAAATACAAAACCTGATATTAAACCTTGTTATCATCCAAATTAATCTAAAATATAACAAAACAGCTAAAGTATAAAATTCAATTCAAGGGAAATGTTGACGGACCTCTGTTTTATTACCATGTTCCCTGAAGCATGCAGTGTTCTGCATTGATATATTACTTATTACTATGACTGCCTCCATCACCAGTTCAGTGTGTAGACGATTTTCAGTGCAGCAAGCTACCCCACTCCCAACTTTGAGCTGTTCCCTAACAAAGTTTAAGTAGATAATAATTTCAAATCTATAAGTGATATGATTTAAAAATCTAGAGGCCCTTATTATTAAGGATGTCATCCACCAACAAAGTAAATATTTCGAGCAGGCATAAACCAAGTTCTCTTTCATTTAATTCTAGATATATTTTCTCTCCAAATTAGTATAAAATGTTGTACAGAGATCAACATTTTAAATGGATCCAATTAATAATAACCTGTTACAGTTCACACGCAAAATAGGTTGAGCAACATCAATGTTAGACACAAAAATTTGTTTGGATTGTATCATACAATTAGGGTTCTGCTTGGAATCTGACTATAATAAGGTATAAGAAACTGAAAACTATTATGCACTTCATTGTCTAAATACAAAGAGTTGTAAGTGGGAAATCTTAATGTACAAGTGATAATCAACATATCTCCTGAACTTTAGGATCATAACTATATATAATCAAAGCAAAACAATGTAGAAAAGATTTCTTCCTGAGACTGAGAGGCTTAACCAGACGAAAGTAATCAATCTACTAATTATAGAACCCAATAGATTATGATTTTAAATGATAAATGGGGGGCTGAGTTGAGATTATGAATGTACCCAGTTGTAAAACAAGAGATACACTTGTTACTTAAATTATTTCCATGCTTAAGCACATAGTCTTCCATGCCTGACTTAAGAAGATCAAGATTTGAAGCTGAGATTGGTAACTGCTTGCACTCATTTGCAAGAAAAACCTTTTCATATCGTGATTCTGGCACATCACTATCTTCTGCTACTAATTGAACTGCAACATTCTGGAGTCAAAAATAAAAGTGAATCGCTAAAACTGTGTCAAAGTCTCGATCAAGGGTTGCATTAAATTTGTAAGGCTGCTTCGTATAAATATCAATGATATGGAATTGCAATATTCTGGAGACAAAAATAAAAGTGAGCCACTAAAACTGTGTCAAAGCCTCAACCAAGGGTTGCATTAAATTTGTAAGGCTGTTTCGTACAATATCAATGATATAGAAGTGCGATTTGGCAATCTGATTTGATGGAATTATTAAGCGTCGATAGCATATGAGGTAGAAAATGCTCTCCCGCAACAGCATCGACACAAGTTATAGTTGTTTGAAAGAATGTGAAAGCATTTGAGAATTCTTAAGTTATGCCAGTTTAACTTACAGGAATCTTTAAAATGAGCATCTGCAAAATCAACAAACAAATAATAAATAAATAAATAGAATATGAAATTTTGTTCATGAATATAAACAGAAGAATGGTTTGAAGAGAAACAGAATGATATTAAAACTTCAGCAAATCATTTTATAGCCTCAACTAAAACAAAATGATATTTCTGCTTGCTATTGTTTTCTCTTTTTTGCTACTTTCTTATACGCCAGTAGAAGATTTTTCCTGTTTTTGGTGTGTGGTTATAGAAAATAGAAGCACTCACTCTTTTGATTTCTCAATATAGCAAATTTCGATAAACCAAATTGCTTTGACACCACCGAGAAGTGCAAAATGACACATGCTGTGTAACTGTCTAGATCTTTCGGTGCTTTCTAATAATTGAAACATTTGTTATACTGCAGACCCATATTAGTTTGAAGCAGTAAATTTAAATCACTTCCTTCAGTAGCATTTAACTTGGTGTGCTTCCAACTTTAAGTGCCAACCAAAAAAACATGGGCCAAGAGTTTCAATCTTGGTTTGTGCTTAAAATTTTAGATAAAATGTTTTTAGTACTCTAAAATTTTTTAAATTTAATTTTAGTTTTTTAAGTGCTATTTAAACTACTTTGAGGATTAAAAGTAATATATTTTTAAACTAAAGACTAATATACTATCTCTGATCCTAATTATAAGTAATAAATTAATTTTTTCTTTAGTCCTAATTATAAATAACAATCATTAATTTTTAAAGTTATTTAAGGTTAATTTTTTTTATATCTTTCCTTTATTGTTTTCTCTATTTCATATGTATTCACTTATAACTAACTTTAAATATAACAATTAATTAAAATAAATAGTATATTTAAAATAGAACTTGAATTTATGATATAATTAATTAAAAGTAATCATATTAATTACTTTTCTTAGGTTCAATGATTTGTCCTATATTATTTATAATTAAGATCAAAGGTATTAATACAAAAAAAAATTGAAAGATTGAAATCGAATGAAAATTTTTATACGTACAATAAACATATTTTATCCTAAGTTCTATTATAAGGATAAATCATAAATCTAGCCATTACTCTAGGACTGTCACTTGACTGCGGTGCAGTTATAATTAAGCTATTTGAACAAACACATTTAGAATGAAAATATCAGCTTGCTATAAGTTTCGTGCATCCCAAGTAAATTACTTTTTGCAAACAAAAAAATAAAAAAGATTTGATGAAGTAGCACTAAATCTTCAACATACCTTCTGCAAAAAGGTATGAACATCAGCTAGTACGAGATCAGGGCTAACGAAAGAAAATAGACAAATTTCACTGCCACTGCAAAATAATACAATCACACAATTATTAAAAAGAAATTTAACCAGCAAAATAGTTTCAATTTAATGTAGTTCAAATAACCCGCATGCCTGAATATTGCCCCATTTTTTGTGTTTGAAGGTAGTCTAGTTATTCTAGAGGAACCACTTTCTTTCAGGTTTATCTGATAATTATGTATCTCGGTATCCCTGATGCCTACAATTTCCATAGACAGCAATAAGATCAAGAAAACTAAACTAAACATGGTAATATATTAAATAGTTGAAAATCCACTTCACTCTTGAACAGTGGCGTAGTATAATTACACAGGCATCATGAAACATTTGACAAATTTCCACATGGCTGACAAAAAATGACTTCATATCAAAAGTACCTATACCTATAAAAATAACATAAAGAGAGAGTTTAAAACCATTTTCCTTAGACAAAATGTCTGGCCTGGCATAATACCTCCACCCACATCAATGCAAGATGTGTTGGGATTATTTTATGGTATTTGTGTGAGGGGATATTTTACTTTTAATCATTACTTAAAAGGCTTCTCTATCATTAGAGTATGAGTGTATTTTATAATTTATTATTTTTCTCTTATTTTATCGATGTGAAACTTATTTATATCCCAACAAGATCAATGGAGTTGGCGCAGAAAAAAAAAATTGCTATCTCTTTTCTACTTTGTGCACGTGGGATGTTTGTGTGTTCAACGAGATCAAATAAACTAACATGAGAACATTACACTTACTGGTGGTTTTGAGAAAAAGCATTCCATCTGTTATACAAGGAGCAAAAACAAATAAATAACAAACTCAAAAAAAAATAAAAATTGAAACAAACAATCATAAAGCAATTACAAAAGACTCAGATGATAAGGGAAAAATTAATCATAAATTGTTTAGTTACCCCAATTCTCAGCAACATCCATCGAAGGAAACCTCAAGTCCTGAAATTCCTCTAAGCAGCTCCCAATGCCGGTATCAGAGACTGCTTGCAAGAAATTCAAATATTATTACAAAGGAAAAGATCGTCACTCTTTAACAGAACAGGATTGATTAATTTTTAGAATCACTCTTCTCATTACACTAATCCCCGGAGGGAGTACGCGGCATCGTTTTGATTCATCATTTTATATTAATTTAATAATGCCTTAAAATTGAATCAATTGTTCCGATTTTTTTTAATAATAAAATGCGCAACAGAGCGAGCTAGTCGAAATGCTTGGAAACATTTTCTTACTTGAAATTCGAAGAGAATGATGCGAAGATGAAGAGCGAGTAAGAATAACTGCGAGTCTGCAAATCTGCTCCGACAATCGGCATCTCTGATACGCTGAAGATATTAACTGTAATCGCAAATTCACGTCGCATACATAACCGAACCAATCACGAAACTCGCATGCAAGGTGAGCACAAATTTACATAAACCAAAGAAAGAGAAAATCATAGGAAAAATATTCGCTGTAAAAGAAGAAGAAGAAGCTCACATGTAAGCACAGTTTCTGAGCCGAAGAAAACTCCATTCAGACAAAAAAAAAATCTGAAATTCGCGCGCAGAACTGAGCAACGGTTTCGAAAATCAAAATTTAATTATCATACTGAACGCGGTGGGCCCATTCAGCGACTCAGTCGTTAGGCCCATTAAATTGTGGATGGGCCTCACTGATCCATAACCATGTCTGGCCCATACTGGAAATTTTCTTTTCATAAAAAAGAGAAGGATGATAGATTATTTTTTACTTTTTTGAAATTAAAATTAAAAAAGTGTGCATCACGAATTCTATTATTGCAGAAGAGAGAAGAAGCATTGGGGTCCCAAAAAAAAAAGTGTTTTACACTCTCGGACCTTACACTGAAATTTCTGACTTCTTGCACTCTCAAAGACAAGCAAGTATGAAATCCTTTTGCTGACAAATGCTGTTGATGACGATGCTGCTTGTTTTGACTGAATCTCTGCCATATAATTTTATCAATTGTCTAAGTTAGGAAAATGAACACACTATAAATCGTCTAATTTTGTCACATTCTTTTACTTTTCATGTAATTAAGAGGTATAATTTCCTTACATTAGTTTAGTCAACTTATGATAAAATAAAGTGATATTTTTAATTATAACTTTATGTTTAAAATGTAAATCCACCTTCAATCTTTAATTAAGAAATACAAATGTGCAACGGCAATTGTTACCAACTTTTATAATATTAGCCTACTTTACTACTTGCATGTTATAAAAATAAAATAAAATTGAAAGGATAAATTGTAATGAAAGTTTTAATGGCACCACTTCCTGAAGTTTTCACAAAAAGGGCTTTCTTCACGCAGACCTGTTAAAGTTCTAGTAGCACTCTCCTTGTACGAAATCACATCACATGATGCCAGCCAGGGGCATCGCTGGAAGAAAGAGAACCGAAACTTTGCACGGGCAATTATATTCTCATTCATGCTAGCTAGAGTGGAAGTGGAATTATTCTCCTTTTTTTTTCACTACCTTGCTTAATGCATTTATCTAACCATTTTTCAAAGTTCTTGCTTCATATATACCGTTTTCCCTTTTCTGAAGTGAATGGTGACTTTCTCCATTGAAAAGATGTCAGGGTTTCATGACCCTTTCATCCATTAGTGGTTCACATTGATCTCCTATGTGCTATGGCTAAGTAAAGAATGACATTCCAATTCAATTTAATAAAAAGAAAAACTTGCTCCCTATGTGCAATACATATAATATAACGTAATTTTAGTTCTTGTTTAGAACTAAAAAGTAAAAACACATGATTTATATTTACAAAAAGAATATAGTTTCCGTTTTTTTTTTTTAAATTTTTAAATACTAAACAAATAACCCCTATTTCTTTTATCTGAAACTTGTAATGCCTGAAAATCTTTTTTAACTTTATTTATAACACTCAAGTAAAAAATTTGACTTAAGAAAAGAATCATGAGGACAATGATTTAACTAACTGAAGTGTATGATAACAAAGTTAACGTATCTGATTGAGATTAATATCTCTACTACCTACTCAACACTCACAAGCAGATTCCCACTTTGAAAAGGAATAAAGGGAGGGCTACCCCATTAAGCTAATTATAAGATTGATATTGGAATTGTTAGTGCTAGATACTTTTGCACAGATCCCTATATTAATAAAACAAGGCTGGTCTCTCTCTCTATGTGTTCCCCCTTTCACAAATTTCGGAGAAATCCTTGACTAGATGTTCCTTTATGCGTCATATTTGGAACATCATCCAGCTCCTAAAGACAATTACTTTGTTTAGACCCTAGGTATGTATTTTGTACGAAAGACTGACCCATGCAATGCATAGTAGGTTCTTAACAACTTGAGCATGATTAAAAAAAAAAAAAAAAAGTTTAAGCCTTACAAAACTCCCCATCCCCATATAATTTGACGTAGTTTTTTACATTCACAATGTGTTTTAGGATTATTTGACATGCCAATTAAACTCTAATTTGTTTTAAGAAAAGTAACACGCACTTGTCAACAAAACATGATGACAATTTGGCATGTATCGACTACATAGAGGCATAGACTATCTCATTCTAATGATTATGAGTGGGAACACCCCAGTAAACAAAAGCTGCTCATTCATGGGGCCTTGAGAGTGTAATGTGTCCTTATGCTGCAAGATCTTGCTTTCTCTCCTTACAAAGCAATCATAGGAGCCAATAAGTTTAAAGAACACAAAGAATATCTTTAGTAGCCTTCTTTATTAAAGAAAGTTCCCCTCTCACCTTTTTTTCTAAATTCAAAAATTCCTACTTATTTACACAAGCTCTTCTCACACCACCACCTTATCTGCTTGCTTGAGGAGTTAACCCAAATCTACCTTGGTCTGCACTCAAAGAACAAGAGCTGCAGCTTTAATATCAAATCCACCTATTCCCCCACAACTCTCACACCCCTCAACACAACTATTGATCTCTCTTCTCCAATTCAACATGTCTTTACAAGTTCAACCGCTTGCACAGCCACAGCCACTGCAGCAGCAACAGCAACCTGTTCAGGTCTACCCCACCAGTGTCACATACCAGTCACCACCTCACCATTCAAATGGGTCTTTTGGGTCAGTTTTTGTTGTCTTGGCTATAATAGTAGTCATTTCTGCAGTTGCATGCTGTCTTGGAAGGCTTTGCAACCGACGCAGCCACAGCCACAGCTACAGTCACAGCCAGAAAAATGTTAAGCCACACAAGCAGCAACAGCAGCAGCAGAAGAACCACAATTTTCGTCCAAAAGAAGTGGACATTGAATTCGGGTTTGACAAGAGAATCGCTGCTTCCAAGCCTAATGGACATGGAGCAGGCAGAGGAATGAAGCCAATTCCTCATCATGGTGACATGAAAACTTTTGAAATGAAGCTTGGCCACCAAGGAAAACCAAGACCAGGTCCATGAAGGGAATTATAAGGGAACACTATAATTATGTAGACATATATGTCCATCTTCTTGTTGGCAACTGTTCCACCACTATACCATTGTGTTTTTATTTATCTTCTCTGTTTTTCAGTCTCTTAGATTTGCAACTGCAAGATGAAATGTATAATTATCTTCTCTACTTTTTTGTGCCCTTGTTTTGATATTAGAAAACAAAACATGTGTTCTTTCTGCATTATGGATTTGTAAAATTAAAGAGAGTGTAAGCATAGAAATAACTCAATTTAAACTTGATGGATTGGTTGGATAAAAAAAATGATGGTTTTTAATTATTTTATGTAATTAAATTTATTTATATGTTTTTTAAGGAACTCAAATCGAACTGGACTTGGATTATAATAAAGCAAAAGAAATAATTACTTAGAGAGCCAAAAATTACAGCAGACGCAAACAGAAGTTGTGCTGCAAACGAATAAAGATTAAGTTAATGAAACTAATCCATCTTGGAGTTAATACTAATCCATATGAATTTATAACCTTTCTTTCTGCATTAAAGAAACTAAGGTCTTCGAGTGCGCTTAATGAGAAAGTGTAACATTTATCATACCTACCATGATTTTCAAAAAAAAAGTTGTTTATTTATTAACTTTCCCTTATAATAATGATAACGAGGTCTTTCTGATTACCAATTATACAAACTTCTCACCCATTAGCTTAATTCTAATAACAAATAAGGTTTGTATAGAAAGTAAGACAATTGATTTTACTTAATCAAAAATGATTTTTGTGAATACTATATATCTAACATAAATCATTTTCCTACCGATTACAAACATTTCTCAGCAAAACCATTACAGACAAAATTCATTTACTTCTTTATTTAGCTTGGTATCTAATTCCCTGAATTCTGGCACATGATGGATAGAGCTTCAATTCTTGCAGAAGCAAATGACTATATAAAGGAAGTTCAAGTAGAAGAACAGGAAGAAGAGGTCACAATCAAAGTTCTTTCTGGACTGAAATATAGACGCAGATGGAGGTACAAAGACTTGGCATAACCTCTATATTACTTTTTTTTTGTCCTAGCTTTGTATGAAACTGAATTTCTGTAATCCTGTTTTAATATATTCCTCAATACAAATTGTTTCAATATGTTCCCAGGTGCAAGCAGAAATGAAGCAGATTGGCAGGATGAATTCTTGGTTATGCGCTAAAGAAGAAGCAAGACCAACACGTTAATAACAAGAAAAGTAGCTTTAACCAAAGAGACCAAAAAAAGGGTATTTGATGAGCAAACAGGTCCATGATAGAAGAAAAAATCCGCAACGAGTTTAGGAATTCTAGTTACAAGTGAGAATTAAAGGACTTGGGATACAAATAAAGTTTCATACAATTGTGGAATACAAATAAGGTCTCATACAATTGATAAAATATAAAAAAGAAATCCCATATTGTTAAAATAAGAAGAGAAAGAAGAGTTTATAAAACACATATATACTTCAATAGTTAAAAAACTCTTTTGAGTGATAATCAAGATATAAACTCAATGCAGATAATATCTCACTGTTGTGAAGTTATGTGTGAAATAAACCAATAAAAATAACAAGAAGTGAGGATTGTTGAGATACAAACAAAGTCTCATAACTGATGGGATACAAAAAATGTTCAGAGGTCCTTTAAGTGATAATTACAAGCAAAGTCTTTTAAGTGATAATCAAAAACAAAATCCTAAGGATGTAAACCCAAAATAACAATATCTCACAATTATGGAGTTACGTGTGAAATAAACCAATAAAAATAATATGATATAATCTCTTCTTATTATCTAAAAATGGCACATGCGTACCACAACTTAGAGAGAAAAAAAATTGGACTATAAACGTAGATAGTTCACTTTGAGTAGAGCTATGCCTCATAAATGATCCAAATTTGCAATTCACAAGTACTCTCGGTCTTAAAACATAAATTCAAAATTGAAAATATAAGATTTCATATCATTTATATAAACTCAATGTATCATTGCAAAAATGCAGTAAGAAATTAAATCTTCCTAGTCCTGTATATACATATCACAATTCTTATTAAGAAGTAAACTCAACAAATTTATACTTTACAACCTATCAATGTCCCCGCTATAAACAAAAAAAGACGGGGGAAAGAAAACTGAACAAAAATTGAAGACATAGAAACAAAATAATGTTTTTGATTGACATAAGTCAAACAAAGACAATCTCTACATATTTCAATTTTCATGGTGGTAAGGATTGGCAAGTTTGGACTTTGGAAGGTCATAGTTCCAATCTCTAAACCAAAAAATTTCAGGGTGCTTTGTAAGATGATGCAACGTCATGAAGAGGGGTTTGGTGAAATTAGTTTTGGTTTCAGGAATAAGTGTCTGGCAGAATTAGTTTCATTAAAACCAGAAGCCTTAAACTCCAATATGCCTATGCTCACTACAGCGCTAGTATGTGTGTTCCCTCAAGACATGTTCTAGGTATTGCTACTTTGGCCTTGGAAAACTCTAACTTATGTATCACTATCTGCACCCTATGGCATCCTTGCATGTCTGGGCCCAGACATTTCTCTTGAAACAGTTGATCGGTAATCTGTACTGTACGTATCAAACTCAGAATCACCAAAACTGCCATTAGCCATCCTTCTGAATCTCATAATGTCTTCATTATACTGGCCAGAATCATAAATAGTACTCTGACCATATTTCACCCCATTAGATAGATCATATAGTTTATCACCATTGTCTAAGGCTCTTGACACCTGATAATAACCAAGGGAGACATTAGCAAATGATTTGGACGAGTTAAGATAGAAATGTTACAATTGCAGATAATTATGTCAAGATTAATAAGAGAGAAAAAAAGAAGCACAAGCTTATTATCACCTGAACCATACGAGGTCGCTTCGGAGCAGAATGGCGAACACATGCTGCAGATGCCTCAATCATTCTGAACATTTCACTGTCAATGTATTGATTTTCAAGCCTAGGGTCTACTAGTGCAGCAAAGTCACCTGTCTCAACTGCACGAAGGAGAAGTGGACGAGCCTGTGGAAAGAGGAAAACATCATTCAAAGTGCACATTTGCAAGCCAATTCGCAAGAAAAAAAGACAACATTAGCAGTTGAACATGATTGACTTAATGAAGATTGTTGAAATATGAAATTTTAATATCTTTTTGTTAATGATACTATTGTCCCCAGTTATAGGTACCTAGGAGAAATAAGGGAAAGAGAGGGAAGGAAGGGAATTGAAAATTGAAATTTTCACTTAAAAAACCTAAGAAAAAGGTTCAAACGTACCCATTCAACCAAACTCTCCTCTCCTATGGGCTGCGTTGTATCAACGGGTTTCCTCCCTGTTATAAGCTCAAGGAGGACAACTCCGAAAGAGAAAACATCCGATCTATCAGTTAATTTTCCACTTGTTGCATACTCTGGAGCCATGTACCTGCAAATTGGAGTTACAACGAGTTAGACATGTTGATAGTTTAGCATTTGGCATTGCTGAAGGTTTTTCCTGATAAGGCTTCCATTATAAGCTCAAACCTTAAAAGGTGGCTTCAAAACCTAAAAAAACCGGTTCACCCCATTAAAGAGTAAGTCTACTTGTCCTCCAAAATAACGGTGATGAAAAATAATTGAACAAAGCAATATTTCAATTTTCAATTGAGAATAAATGTCTCCCGTATTTTCAGAATACTATATTCTAATAACCACCATTTTTATACCATATCATCACACAAACTTTTATTTTCCTTTCTTTTTTTACAACCAAAGAGTTGTTTGTTTCACATTGATAGCAAGTGACAACCTTCATGAAAGTTCTTATACATTAGAATGCTGTAAACTTGATTCATGATTTAGACAGGAAACACACCCGAAGGTCCCCATCACCCTAGTAGATACATGGGTATTAGCATCGTCCGTTAGCCTGGCAAGTCCAAAGTCTGCAACCTGTGTTAAAACAAGGCTAAATTGAGATCCAGGACTTCAAATTCAAATCAGGAAACAGAACACATATAAAAAAATATCCATACCTGTGCCTCATAAGCATCATCCAAAAGTATGTTTGGCGATTTAATATCTCTGTGAATAATCTTCGGGTTGCCTAGAAACATATTAAATGTTTTAGCTTATCTAAATTATATAAAATTACTATTGAGATAATAATCATTCCCCTATCAACTGTTCCGGTGAAATGGCACCATATTCTCAAAATAAAATTGTGCTTTATTGCATTATATGTAAGAAGAGATAATCCCATGGCACAAATGCAAGAGATACTTACAGCCTTCGTGGAGATATGCCAGTCCCCTGGCAGCGCCAATTGCTATCTTCATCCTCTTGGGCCAATCCAAAACAGGCAATTCATTTCCTGTGAGCAGGGCACATACAAACAATAAACACATGAGAATGACTTCAAGTGTATAGAAAACAAAAACTCATTTCTTTAAAAAAGAAAGAGAGAAAGAAAGAAACTCACGTTACCATGCAAGTGCTGACTGAGATTCCCATTAGGAACGAACTCATATATAAGCACTCTTTGCTGTTCAGCTAAGCAAAAACCAATTAGTGAGACCAAATGCCGATGATGGATACGGCTGATAATATCCACCTCAGCCCTGAACTCCCTTTCTCCCTGCCCACTACCAGCCTTCAACATCTTAACCGCCCCCACTTTACCATCAGGCATGGAAGCCTTGTAAACATATCCAAATCCCCCTTCCCCTATTATGTTCTCTCTGGAAAACCCGTTAGTGATCTCCGCAATCTTCTCATAGGTGAAAACCATCTGACCAGGGTTCATGTGCTGGCCCTGACCGTTATCAGAAGGAGTTCTTAGATGCATGGCACCTTGAAGATTCCCAAAACCAGGATCCTCTACGTAGTAATGCACATCATCACCTGATGAAATCAAACACCATGCACAAAGGTATAAAAAACTAAGAAATAAATGAAACACCTTGCTTGTAAGTTGTAACATTGAAGATGAGCATAGAAAACATAGAGTATACCTCCTTCGATATGAGGTTTCCCATGGGGTGGCTGAGCATAGATATTCTCTCGCTTTTTCTTCCTCCATATTATAAAGTAAATAACTAGAGCAAGAAACGCGAGGATGAAAAGCCCGGCGAGAGTAACACCAACAAGTTCGCCTGCGCTATTGATGGAGCTAGATGACGTGGACGGATGCTTGCTCTGAGAGGGAGCAACGCCTGATTTTGGTGGGGAAACCGGCAGTGATCGCGGCGGTGTAGGGCGTCTTGGCCCACCGGTCGCCTGCGCCGGTGGAGTGACAGGGGAAGCCGGTGAAGGTCGAGTTGAGGCGGGAATTGGAGGCGAAAGTGGAAGCGGAGGAGGGGCACCGGGTTGTGCTGGAGGCGAGTTTTGAGGTGGTGGCGGTGAAGGCAGCGGCGGCGCCGGCGGTGGAACCGACGGGGAGGGTGGAGGAGTTGAACCTTTTACCGGCGGGGGAGTTGACGGAGGCGGCGAAGATTTAGACGGAGGCGGTGCGGATTGTTTCGGTAGTGGACTCTGCGGAGGAGGGGAAGGTGGTGGGGAACGCGGCGGAGTCGGCGGCGGAGACCGTGGAGGAGTTGGCGGCGGAGAATGAGACGGAGCCGGTGGCGGAGTTTCAGAAGGAGCTGGTGGCGGAGATTGAGACGGAGCTGGGGGCGGAGTTTTCGCCGGCGGAACAGAGAGATCCCGATACTCAGACTAGTATGCCATTCTATCCCTAGGTTCGGCATCTTTTAGAGAGACACCAACAGAAGCATTGTTAGAAACATCCATGACATCATTCAAGAAAGGACATTGTCTATAGCCCAAAAGCCAAACATGTATTCAATCCAAAACTAGAACCAACTTATGCATAAGTTAAAATAAGATTTTGGAGAAACTAATAAGAGAGAACTTCAACAAATTAGCTTATGCACAAGCTAATTAGCTTAAATTTTAACTTATGAAAAAATTTATTTCATTTTCCTTTTATTTTTTTCTTCCTAGAAGTGCTTCTATAGAAGTCTAACTAAGCCAAGCAAGGAATAAACACTGCCAAGACATCAAAAAGCCATGCCTTGGTATGAGCGATGACGAAGATAACGGCGACGGAGCCTGGTTGGAACCCGAAGAAGATGACTTATTCAACGACTTTTCTTCAGCCATTTCTGATTTAAAAGGTGAACTCGATTCTCAGAAATGGCAACAAAATTGAAAAAAAAACGAAACGCCAAAACAAACACGCGCGGGATTAGAATTTGAAACAGTTCGTCAAAGCCGAGGTTGCATTTCGAGGAGCAAAGCAGAAACAACAACGGGAGGTTCTTGTTGTTCAGGAATTGAATTGCGGCAATGAAGTAAGCAGAGAATGGTTGAAATTTTGAAACGGAATTGACTGCACGTGGCCACGACGCATTGAGAGAGAGCGGTGTGTCGTGTGTCTGCGAAATGGATGAGGAAAGAGATAATAATAATAATAATTTTGAAAATTGGTGGCCATTTGGAAGTGGCATAGGATCATAAGCCCTGAACATTCATTCTTCGATTGCATTATTTTAGGTAGTTTGTTTCATGTTTGTAAAGATTCATGTTCGTTCCGGTTTTGGTTTGTTAAGGAACCAAACCGAGGGTTTTTTTGTCTTCTCCTTGAATTTCGGATTACCGCGCAACATAGAACCTGTTGGGGCTTCATGGTGAGTTGATTAGCAAACGACATCTGTGGGTTCCTACTTCCTGCCATCTGAATTCTGAACTGAGCTCAGCCTATTGTTGATTTTACTTATCATTCTAACATGGGCTCCTTCTATAGGATTGGACTTTAAGCTAAGGCCAGTTGGGCCTTTCGCCCCTCTGTAGCCAAAAAATAGAGTTAGGGGCACCTGTGTCACAAAATTTTTTAGTTTTTAGTTTTTTTTTTTTATAATTTGATTTTGACATGTGCAATGCAAGCTAAAAATATAATGTGAGAATTTTTTTTATTTTGATTACTAAAATTTATTATTGGTTTAGGAAGTTTTGAAATTTATTAATGAATTAAGAAACTCTGATAATTAATATATAGGAAAAAAAATGAAAAGAATATTAGATAAATTATTTTATTTTAAATATTTAAAAATAATTATAAGATGAATATGAAAGGTTTAATATATTAATTATAAGTTGTGTTTTATTTGTTAAATGTTATATATGTGGTAATTAATGTGCATAATTTTGTGAAAAAAAACTATAAATTTATAAAATATATAATTTGCATGTGATATATTTTTTATTTTAAATATTTGTTTGATTTGGCTATATCTACATATTTTATTTAATTAATGTAATGAAAATTCACTTTAATCATTTGACACAATTTTTTTTAAGTCTTTAAGAATATTCTTCATTATTATCCCCTCCCACACTCACACATTAT